GGATTCCCATAAATGCCAAATTGGATAAGAAATAGGGCATCGTATTATAGTTTCCATTTCACAATTTTACTTTTGTAAACCCAATTTGATAAAGAATTGAAACTCAATTAAGTTATCGATTTACAAAATTCAACTTGAACAAATTGACCACTTTTGATGATGGTAAATTATCGATTAACAAATGAGAATGGGCTAACAGTAAAGAAGTGAGAATTGATTGAGAGTAGATAAATAATATACCTTTAAGAAGCTATTGATAGATCATCAATGCCGAAACAACTGTGCAAACGTCGGGATGGGGAGATACAGTGTCGTATGGGTCATCCGTAGAAGGATAGAAGGAGAAATAACCAATCCCCCCAAAATCATAACCGATCCCGCTCAATTCTCTATCATAAATTGGGCGGGTATATCTTCTGGTATTTGCTGCCTATTAACCTCAATCGACGATTACACATGTAACACACAACCGACCCCCCCCCCCCCCCCCCCCGCCCCCCAAAAAAAAAAAAAAAAAAAAATCATAACCGATCCCGCTCAATTCTCTATCAGCTCATAAAATCGGCGCGTATATCTTCTGGTATTTTCCGCCGATTGACCTCAATCGACGACTACACATGTAACACACAACCGAACCCCCCCCCCCCCCCCCCCCCAAAAAAAAAAAAAAAAAATCATAACCGATCCCGCCTCTTAACAAAAATCGTCCGGTATAATGTTCTAGGGTTTACGCCTCTAATTGATCGATTTTACTTTGATACCCTTTAAACCATTATTTATAAATTAATTAATTAATTACATGTGTCAAATGCTAATTGGTCCTCATGCCCTAATTCCTTAGTTTACAAAGAACCCAATTATATATATATATATATATATATATATATATATATATATATATATATATATATATATATATATATATCAATGTTCTAAATAACGTAAGGCGTGACTTGGTGGCAATGTTAAGCCTTAAGCTTTTTCGAGCATTGGCGAGTCATGACGTTTGTAAGGCGTGACTTAAGGCGGAAATTTTCTATATAATTGATATTTTTATATGTATTTTCAACTATTATTCATTTTATACACATATATGAGTTAATGCGGTGTTTTGACAAAGTTTGGCGGCAAGTGCAAGCCTTGGAGTCGTGGCACACCATGGTAGAGCCATGACGAGCTTTTTACAACCTTTATATATATATATATATATATATATATATATATATATATATATATATATATATATATATATATATATATATATATATATATATATATATATATATATATATATGAGGTTCAATTGAGAAAAAAAATGTTGAGAATGGAGAATTATTCTCAACCACACATTTATTTTGCCGCAAAACACTTAGGCGTACTATCGAAAATGGATAACAAATAAACATGTGTTTTCCAACCAAACATATTTCCTTAAGCTATGTTAATCGTTACCTTAATATATACAAAAACATATTTTTTTTTTCGTTTTTTCGTTTTTAGAAAGTCATTATTATCGAAAAATTATTTTAAATATATCAAAATTCATACTTTTTTTTATTCTCTATAAATAGACATTCATATTGATATACTTTAAAATAAAATAAAAAATTTATTTTTTTAGAGTTTCAGCTCTCGTTATTCATAAATGAATAAAAAAATCTATCACATTTTTATTACAGTATATTCGTTATTCACTTATGAATAAAACGGATGCGTAATTTTTTTTTATAGTTTAAGTACCATTCATATATAATATGACACGCAATAAAGTTTTCTGACTTAAAATATATTTTTTACATCATCTTTCATCATATATTATATTTATATATGAATAAAACGTGTATTAGTTGTCGTCATATTTTATATTCATATATGAATAAAACATTTTATTTTTGTTACAGTTAATTTGTTATTTATATATGAATAAATAGTATAAATGATACTTAAACTGTAAAAAAAAATTAATTATATATTTTTATTAATAAGTGAATAACGAATGTACTGTAGCAAAAATCTGATGCATTTTTATTCACTTATAAATAACGATAACTGAAAAAAAAAAAAAATAATTTTTTATATTTTATCTTAAAAGTATATCAATATGGATGTCTATTTGTAGAGAATAAAAAATCATGAATTTTGGTATACTTAAAATCATTTTTCGATATAAATAGCTTCTTAAAAAAAAAAAACTATGTTTTTGTATATATTAAGATAATGATTAACATAGTTTAAGAAAACATGTTTTGTTGGAAACACATGTGTATTCCTTATCTATTTCCGCTGGTACAATAAAGATTTTTACGACAAAATAAATGAGTGGCTGAGAACGATTCTCCATTCTCAATCTTTTTTATTTTCTCAATTGAACTTACCTCTCTCTCTCTCTCTCTCTCTATATATATATATATATATATATATATATATATATATATATATATATATATATATATTATATATATATATATATATATATATATATATATAGGGGAAGGTTTAATTGAGAAAAAAAAAAGGTTGAGAATTGGGGAATCATTCTCAACCAATCATTTATTTTTTGCCGTAAAAGGCTCCAACGTACCGGTGGAAATGGGAAACGAATGCACATGTGTTTTCCAACATAACATATTTCCTTAAACTATGCTAATCATTACCTTAATATATACAAAAACATAGTTTTTTCGTTTTTTTTTTATAATTTTTATAAGCTATTTTTATCAAAAAATGATTTTAAATATACCAAAATTCATGATTTTTTATTCTCTACAAATAGACATCCATATTGATATAGTTTTAAGATAAAATAAATTTTTTTTTTTTTATATTTTCAGCTATCGTTATTCATAAATGAATAACAATGCATCAGGTTTTATTACAGTATATTCGTTATTCACTTATAAATAAAAAGCATGATTTTTTTTTTTTTTTTTTACAATTTAAGTATCATTCATATATGAATATAATATATAATAAACATAGTATATTCATATTTTAATATTGGACGATGAATTCACTTGTGAATATTAACACAGTATATTCACTTGTGAATACTAGATGGTATATTCACTTATGAGTATTAAATGATATTTTATATGTGAATATTATATAGTATTACATGGTATATCACATGTGAATATTACAGAGTATATTAACTTGTGAATATTAGATGATATATTCAATTATGAATATTACACAGTATATTCACATATGAATATTACAAGGTATATTCACTTATGAATATTGAAGGTATTTTGACAAATATATATAATTTTTATATGTTATTCACATATGAATAACATACAGACTTGCATATTTGTTTTGTGTTTTTAATAATCATATACTGATTCAGGTGAGAAAACATATTCATATGTGAATATAACGTGGTAATTTAGTTTATGCATTTCATCAAACAGTTAGAGTGCAAACAAGTTAACTATTTTAAAAATGTTAAAAACATCAAGTTATCAATTCCAAATCATCATATACTTCCGATTTCGACTTCAGATGCGACATCCTATCTCTGATCGATTTCTCAATCTGATTTTGATTTCCGGAAATCCGATTGGGAACCTGTGAGTACCGATTCTAAGTCCATCAATGTCGACTGTGATTGCGAGTCCAGAATTCCGATTCCAATTTCATGAACAACGAATAAATTCCGGTTTAGTTGAAGAAATCTGGATGATTATTGAAGGTTGGAGGAAAAATTTTGATGATGAACGAACAGTTATCGAATTCTATAGTTACGTATTTGAGATTGAAGGTTATTACGATATTTACAAGTTTGCCACCGTATCTTTTATGCTTAGATTAAATGAGTGGCTGAGAATGATTCCCCCTATTCTTAGCCTTTTTATTTTCTCAATTGAACCTACCTATATATATATATATATATATATATATATATATATATATATATATATATATATATATATATATATATATATAGGATATAGATTCGGTAAGAAATTTTTTTTGGTAGGAAGGTAAGAAGTTTTTTTTTCTACATATTTTTTTGACGAACAAAATAAATGAATCACTAGATGATTCATTTGTAAGATGATTCACAAGAAAAAATTCCTAAAAAAACATCTTTATGATTCATTTTTAAGTAAATTAAGAAAAAATTCATTTTTATGATAATTTGAGTGAATAACAACAAAATCATTGTATAAATGAAGCTTCGAGATGTTTTTTTGAGAATTTTTTCTTGTGAATTATCTAATGATTCATTTTGTTTGTTCGCGAAAAAAATATGTAGAAAAAAAACTTCTTACCTTCCTACCAAAAATTTGCTTCTTATTTGATCTTGATTCTCTCTCTCTCTCTCTCTCTCTATATATATATATATATATATATATATATATATATATATATATATATATATACTAGCCGTTACCCGCGCACAGCGGCGGGGACAAATAGCTTCTTTCAACGATATTTTTTTAAAGAAAAATGTTATGTTCCAAAAGAAAGTTCATGTCGTGGGTGAGAGG